CCAGGTGCTTTTCCTGGTCTCCCATGGGGTGCAGGGCCCAAAGCACCTGGGCCATCCTCCACTGCACTCCCGGGCCACAGCAGAGGGCTGGCCTGGAAGAGGGGCAACCGGGACAGAATCCGGCGCCCCGACCGGGACTAGAACCCGGTGTGCCGGCGCCGCTAGGCGGAGGATTAGCCTAGTGAGGCGCGGCGCCGGCAATATGTAAGAATGTGTATAGACACATGGAACTTAACATTCTAAGTCTCGGGTTATAGCTCAGCCTCTGTAGTTTGAGCCTGTGAGAATTTATGAATGTGCACCATCCTGATCTTTACTTAATGTAGGAAAGTATGAAGCCTTGATTGGTATTCAAGGAAGTTCTGTAGATACTTGTCGGCACTTTGTCAGAGATTTTATTTTCCTGCAGATCTAGTAACTGTGTCTAGCTCTTTGTTTTGTTTTGTTTTTGACAGGCAGTTAGACAGTGAGAGAGAGAGACAGAGAGAAAGGTCTTCCTTCCGTTAGTTCACCCCCCAATGACCATCACGGCTGGTGTGCTTCCCCAATCTGAAGCCAGGAGCCAGGTGCTTCCTCCTGGTCTCCCATGCAGGTGCAGGGCCCAAGCACTTGGGCCATCCTCTACTGCACTCCCGGGCCACAGCAGAGAGCTGGACTGGAAGAGGAGCAAACGGGACAGAATCTGGTGCCCCAACCAGGGCTAGAACCCAGGTGCCGGCGCCACAGGCGGAAGATTAGCCAAGTGAGCCGCGGTGGCGGCCGTGTCTAGCTCTTTTATATTAAGACATTTAAAGTTGTGATGGTACTAAAATGTCTAACACCTGTTAGCATTCTTTCATTTTCTTTTTAAAGATTTATGTATGTATTTATTTATTTATTGGAAAATCAGAGTTACAGAGAATCAGTGGCAGAGAGAGAGAGGTCTTCCATCTGCTGGTTCACTCCCCAGCCAGGAACCAGGAGCTTTTTCTAGATCTCCCATGTGGGTGCAGGACCCCAAAGACCTGGCTCATCTTCTGCTTTCTCAGGCCATAACAGAGAGCTGGGTTGCGAACCAGCGTTCATATAGGATGCCGGCACTACAGGTGGCAGCTTTACCCGCTGTGCCAGAGCACCAGCCGCGACTTGTTGGCTTTCATTCACCTGTTGGGAAAGGAGTAACTGAGCATTTCTACTTGTATGCACATCTGATTCCTCGTACAAGTCCCTAGAGGGCGCGTGTTTACTTTGTATCCCACAAAGGTGGTATTAATCACACTGACAGAAGACTCAGTAAACCCTGAACAAATTGATAAGCTCTAAACCACATTAAAGGGGATGTTGTATTGCACCTGTTTTTTGGTAGAATGAGTTTGAATGTAGTCTGCCTTCAGTAAATCTGAATTTTGTAAGGGAAACCTAACTGATCTGGGCTTACTCTCGTCCTAGATGCACTGGTGGCTATGGAAAAAGCCATGAAGAGAGACAAGATCATCGTAAATGACCGTCAGCTGGCTTGTGCACGAATTGCTTCCGTGGAAGGTCAGGACTACCTGAAGGGAATGGCAGCGGCTGGGAACTATGCCTGGGTCAACCGCTCTTCCATGACTTTCTTAACCCGCCAGGTGGGCTCAGAGCTGCTCTCTCCACGTTATTCCAAGTTAAATGCTTTTTTTTTTTTTTTTTTTAAGATTTTATTATTTATTTGAGAGGTAGAGTTACAGACAGTGAGAGGGAGAAACAGAGAGAAAGGTCTTCCTTCCATTGGTTCACTCCCCAATGGCTGCAGTGGCCAGAGCTGCGCCGATCAGGAGCCAGGAGCTTCCTCCTGGTCTCCCATGCGGGTGCAGGGGCCCAAGCACCTGGGCCATCCTCCACTGCTTTCCCAGGCCACAGCAGAGAGCTGGACTGGAAGAGGAGCAAACAGGACAGAACCGGTACCCATATGGGATGCTGGCACCGCAGGCGGAGGATTAACCCACTGCACCATGGCGCCGGCCCCCAAGTTAAATGCCTTCAAATACAATGTTGACAAAGCCTGTGGGTTTGGTTTTAGAAATTTACGTAAGTACTCAAAATATTGGAGGTGTGTCTAAGATCTTGTGTCTTAATCAGCAGCATATCAGGCTCAGGAAATGAGAAGAGAAAGCAAGATTACTCCTAGATGTGCCATAGCACAGAGAGGATGGAAAGCCATTTATGGAGATTCAGAAGGTTGAGGGAGAAACCATTTCAAAGGATGGGGTCAAGAGTTGCCAGGCAGCTTTGCTTTGTTTTTTTTTTGTTTGTTTGTTTGTTTTTGTCTGTTTGTTTTTAAAACTTTTATTTAATATAAATTGCGAAAGTACAACTTTGGATTATAGCGGTTTTTTTCCCCCCATAACCACCCTCCCACCTGCAAACTATCCCATCTCCTATTCCTTCTCCCATCCTATTCTTCATTAAGATTCATTTTTAATTATCTTTATATACAGAAGATTAACATAGTATATACTAAGTAAAGATTTCAAAGATTGCACTCACACAGAGACACAAAGTACTGTTTGAAGACTAGTTTTACCGTTAATTCTCATAGTACAACACATTAAGGACAGAGATCCTACATGGGGGATAAGTGCACAGTAACTCCCGTTGTTGATTTAACAGTTGACACTCTTAGTTATAACGTCAGTGATCACCAGAAGCTCTTATCATGAGGCAGGCAGCTTTTCAACCAAAGTCGGCAGCTGTGGAGTGGCATTGCTGTGTTCTGAAAGGCAGTGTTTGCCTTTACGTGAAGATTAGTAATACTGACGTGTCTGACTCTTACATGCCTCTCTGCCCTCAGGAACAGCCTAACAGCAATGAGTAAGGTACGTCCTAAAGAGCTGATTCTGGCTGCTAACTTGAGCTTTTTCTCGTAGGCTTTTGCCAAGGTCTTCAACACAACCCCTGATGACTTGGACCTGCACGTGATCTATGATGTCTCTCACAACATCGCCAAGGTCGAGCAGCACGTGGTGGACGGGAAGGAGCGGACGCTGCTGGTGCACAGGAAGGGATCCACCCGGGCTTTCCCTCCTCACCATCCCCTCATCGCGGTTGATTACCAGGTGCGCAGCCTGCCTTTGTGGTTTTAAGCAGTGGGATCTTAAACAGTTCCCAGTGTGGATGCATTTTAGCAGGAAGGCAGCAGTTGTGGAAAACATGAAATGCATCACGCGCGAGGACAGTGAGTCCCGGTCTTCTAAAGAGCAGTGACTCTGCGCCCCATTGTTTGTGCTGGCAGTGGCGCAGGGTGCCGTGGGAAAAGTGCTCCCTGGAGTGTATTTTACTCCATGTGATGAGTTAGGGACTTAGTTATGGGAAAATAGGTTCACTCGTATCTTTACGGCGTCTGCTGCAGGAGTTAGGGGGACCATTAGCCTGCACTGTCGTCTCGTAGATGAGGAAACCAGAGCCAGAGGGGGCAGGTGCCTCACCCTGGATGTTCTGGCAACGCTTCCTAGGCTTGGGGGTTTGCTTTGCTTTCACATTTGCTGTCTTCTCTCTGTCTTTCCTGGTCCTCACATGTTTACTCCCTTCCTTATCCCCCACCCCCAAAGTATGAAAGAATCAAAGTAATGTCTTCTAGAGTTCAATGACTTAAATGTAAATGTCAAGCGTAAAAGCTTACAGTAGGGCAGCATTGGTGGTACAGCAGGTTAAGCTGCATTTGCAACTCCAGCATCCCATATGGGAAAGCTGGTTTGAGTCCCAGCAGTAATGCTTTCCCATCCAGTTCCCTACTGATGCACCTGGGAAGGCAGCAGAAGATGGCCCAAGTGCTTGGGCCCCTGCCACCTGTGTGGGAGACCAAGGTGGAGTTCCTGGCTTCAGCCTGGCCCAGCCCTAGCTGTTGCAGCCACTTGGGGAATTCAGGGAATGAACCTGTAGATGAAAAGATCTTTTTATCTCTCTGTGTCATTCTGCCTTTCAGATAAATAAATCTTTAAAAAAAAAAAAAGCTGGTAACATTCTGAATTTTAACATGTTTGATTTGTGTGCATTCTCAGCTCACTGGACAACCAGTGCTCATTGGTGGCACCATGGGAACCTGCAGTTACGTCCTTACTGGCACTGAACAGGGCATGACTGAGACCTTTGGAACAACCTGTCATGGAGCGGTGAGGAAAATGGAAGCCTCCTTAGGAATGCTGTCTTCAGTGTAGCTATTGTTTGCATTTTGATGGGTAAATGCACCCAATTAAGTGTTAACAAAGTCGAGGTTTGACTCTGCATGTCTTCTACTTGAAATGATTCCCCGTAATTGATGCTGTTTTGTGAACCAAGGTCACCAGTATCCACCTCAGTGAGGCCATGATGGGGCTGGGGGACTGTTCCTCATCACTGCCAGTCCAGAAAATCCAGACCAGGAAAGTATCTCACTAGCTGAGCTGACTCTCACAGATTTATAAGTGATATAACTTTAACTGATGCAGATAGGCACCACAGCTGATCTCAGCAGTTCACTGGCCCTGTTTGTTTGCTTCATTTGCTGCTTCCTATTGGATGCGTCCACTCAAGATTTAGATGATGGCCCTGATTTGCAAACCAGAACCCATGTGTGGTCTGTACTACACATGGCTGCTTCTAAGCCAGGAGTCACTAAGCTTTTTGCATAAAGAGCCAGACAGTAAATAGTGTGGACCTTCTGGGCCATGTGGTCTCTGCACCAGCTGTTTACTGTGCATTTCAGTGCAGAAGCGGCAATAAGTACCATGTGACTGGGAATCGCTTTGTTCCAATAAAACTTTCTTTCCAAAAAATAAAAAATTGGCCAGATTTGATACACAAACTACAGGTTGCCAGTCCCTATTCTGAGCCATCAGATGCTTAGGCAGTGTTGAAATGGGAAATAGAAACTGGAACCTCAAAGGGGACAGATCTTCACAAATAATTTCCTCTTGACTATTCCTCATTTCTAGCTGCCTCTCAACTCCTAATTTTAACCCAATGATCCTTAAGTAGGCTGAGGCCAGTACCCTCAGAGGGATATTGGCATTGTCTGGGGGTGTTTCTGCTCGTAATGCTTTGGGGAGGAACTGTCCATGCTATCAAGCACAGGGTGGCCCCAGCAGAGTTTTCTGGTTCACGTGGTCACTAGTGCTGAAGTCAAGAAACCATTTTAAATCACAAAGAACTTAAGGGCTTTGTGATGCCATATGGTTTGCAATTAAAAATCCACATATTTATATTTAACAATTAACAGTGATTAGGAACACAGAAATACACTTCATGTAGCTGGAAATTTTTTCCAAAAGGATATGTATAATGAAGTTTATAACAAAAGATATTAAAACAGGAAGGTTATTTTTCAAATACTTTCTTAGTTTTAAAAAAATAAGGAAAAGGCATATAATACCAAGGGTTTAAATACTTGCTGGAGTCAAACGTAAAATTTAGCTCAATTTCAAAAGTGATGTGCCTTCCTTTCTGTTCTAGGGCCGTGCATTGTCCCGAGCAAAATCTCGGCGTAATCTAGATTTCCAGGATGTCTTAGACAAACTGGCAGATATGGGGATCGCAATCCGTGTTGCCTCGCCCAAACTGGTTATGGAAGAGGTAAGTGGAATTTGGGACATATTCAGCATAAATCCATGCATGGTTTATATCAGTACACGATGATAAGGATTCACAAACAGGACCTGTTAGGGGTTTTGGTTTTTGTTTCTGTTCATTATTTGAGTGGCAGAGACAGAGACCTGCCATCTGCTGGTTCACTCCCCAAATGCCTGCAACAGCTGAGACTGGGCCAGGCGGAAGCCAGGAGCCAGGAACTCAGTCATGTGGGTCTCAGGGACCCAAGTACTTAGGCCATCAACTGCTGTCCCTCAAGGTGTGCATTAATAGGAAGCTGGGGGTTCCGGTGTTGTGTCGGAGCAGGTTAAGCTACTGCCTGCAATACCAGCATCCAGTATGGGTGCCCATTCCAGTCCCTGCTGCTCCACTTCTGATCCAGCTCCTTGCTAATGCACTTGGGAAAGCAGCAGAACATTGGCCCACTAGTTCACTTCCCAAATTGCCACAATGGCCAGAGCTGGGCCAGTCTGACCCCAGGAGCTTCTTCCAGGTCTCCCACGTGGGTACAGGGGCCCGTGCATTTGGGCCATCTGCTGCTGCTTTCCCAGCCCATTAGCAGGGAGCTGGATCAAAAGCAGAGCAGCCAGGACTCATGGGATACCAGTTCCACAGGCAGAGGCTTAACCTACCACTCCACAGTGCTGGCCCCAACATCTGTAGTTTTCCTAGACAGATAACCACTGTTAACGTTTGGGATTTGGGGTTTTGAGGGTTTTTTTATTTGTAGCACAAGATTTTTTTCATTTTTCATTCAGCTTATACTTACTAAATGTCTATTCTAGCTGCTAGGGATACTGCAGTGAACAAAGCTAGTGTGAATCTCTTCTGTATGGAACTTACCAAGTAATAGTATGAAATGTGTGTCAATGACCTTGTAGGTATGGCTGTGATGTGAAAAAAAAAAAAGGGACGGGTGATAAAGGAAGGTAGGGAGGGGTACAGTTTTAACTAGCTGGTCAGGGAAGGCTTTTGTGAGATTGCACTTAAATAAAGACCTAGAGGAAGTCAGAGAAAGGGTTTTGGGTACTTGGAGGTAAGCTTTCCAGGCTCAGAGTGTTAGAAACAGCAAGGAGACTGTGGCAAGAGCAAGGAAGAGGCGCAAGTGTGGGCTCAGCACTTTAAGACACTGCTCGGGATTCCCACAGCACATTTTAGAGAGCGTGAGTTCAAGTACAGGCTCCGCTGCTTCTGATTTCAGCTTCCTAGTAGTGTACACTCTGGAGGCAACAGGTGTTAATTCAAGTACGTGGGCCCCTGCTGCCCAAGTTGGAGACCTGTGTTGAGTTCTGGGCTCCTGGCTTCAGCCAGGCCCAGCCCTGGTTGTTGCTGGCACTTGGGGACTGAACCAGCAGTTGAATGATCTCTCTGTCTCTCTGATTTTATTTGAAAGATAGAGTAACAGAGGCAGAGAGAGAGAGGGGTCTTCCATCTGATGGTTCATTCGCCAGATGGCTGCAGTGGCCAGAGCTGGGCTGATCCAGAGCCAGGAACTTCCTCCGGGTCTGTGCAGGGGCCCAAGATCTTGGGCTGTCGTCTACTGCCTTCCCAGGCCAGAGCAGAGAGGTGGATCAGAAGGGGAGCAGCCGGGACTCAAACCAGCATCCATATGGGTTACTGGCACTGCAGGCGGCAGCTTTACCCACTACACCACAGCGCTGGCCCCTCAGATAAAATTTCTAAAATATTTTTTCAAAAAAAGAGCAGCAAGAAGAGATGAAGTCAGGGAGGGTGCACCACACTGGCTCATCATTTTTTATTCACAAAAGGGCTTTTGTTTTTACTCTGGGTGAAATGGAAAGACACTAAGGATTTCGGGCAGAAGAGAGATGTGATCGGACTGGTGTTTGCTGATGAAAAAAATCTAGAAGAGAAATCGATGATGCAAAACTGGGCGGAAGTAACTGCCAGAGTGTCCTTGGGTGGATGAGAGGAGATGGAGATGGTGTGCAAGTGGAGGGCGCTGATCTTTGCTGGACACACAGATAATCGTTAATCAGTGAAGACAGGTTTGGACGCAGAGAGGGAGGATACGGTGAGACAGCTTGTGAGAATACCATTCTGGTTGCTTCTAAGTTTTCCATGTGGTGGGAAGCAGGGTCAGCACCAAGAATGTGGCTGTGGGAGAAGGAAAGACCCAGGGAGATTTTGGATGGTTTCCAGGCAGCACCAAGGCCTCTCCGCTGTATTTCAGCCGTACAGGTGCAGGAATGAGATAGGGATGGAGTTAGTTACCTTTAACCAGGGTCACAGGTACAGCCCAGTGACAGAGAGCAGGACTTTTGAGGCTGTTACTGAGGGACTGCAGGTCTTTGTGAGCTTAGAGGATTATTGCAGATGGGCAGTAAACAGGAGTAAGTAGAGAACGTGGGCTGTGATCACCAGCCTGGGATGCTGTAAAGCGAGGTTATGGGGAGGTGTAGTTACTGTAAGCACAAGCTGTGGCCTGTGACCCCGGGAGTGAATGAATGGCAAAGGTAAGCAGAGTCACCATGGGAGGAGCAGAAGCCAAGGCACGGAAAGCGTCCCCTCAGTGAGTAAGGAAACCATTCAGAATTACAGAGGGGAGAGTGCAGAGTGAGCCAGGTTTTACTGGAAATCTGTAAGTGATGCTGGGGCGTGGCTGGGACTGCAGCGGTTAATGCAAGAGCAGGGAGCAGCTGGTATAATGTGACTGCAGGGCAGGTGTTGGCCTAACCCATAGGATGCTGCCTGGGCTGGCCACATCCTATATGGAAGTGCCTGGGTTCAGGTCCTGACTCTGCTTCTGTTTCCAGCTTCCTGCTAACGCACACCCTTGGAGGCAGCAAGTGAAGGTTTCAATAGTTGGGGTCCTGCCACTGACATGGGAAACCTCAGTTGAGTTCCCTTGATGACTGCAAGGGTTGATAGGCAGAAATTACCTCAGTATTTTGATGTGCATTTATTTAATTAGGGTGAAGTTGAGTGCTTTGAAGGCTCCCTTCTCAGTAGACCTTTACGGCGTGTGATTCTTCCCTGCAGGCTCCTGAGTCCTACAAGAATGTGACTGACGTGGTGAACACCTGCCATGATGCTGGCATCAGCAAGAAGGCCATCAAACTGCGGCCCATCGCTGTTATCAAAGGGTAGGACCTCGGCCCGCAGGACTGCTGGGCAACACTGACCCCCCTGAAGTGGAAGTGGGCCGAAACGCTCTTCAGACATCCGATTCCAGACCTGGCAGGCTCCAAAGTGTGCAGCTGTAGCTGCTCGTGTCGGCGTGGCCGATGGGGAGGCTGCGGCCTTCAGGAGCCAGTGTTGTAAACCGTCTTCCAGAAGGCCCCCTTGCCCCGATTTGGAAAGAGACAAGTATGCTCCCTGGCCCGCAGATTTTAGTAACTTCTGTTAGGGCTGGAGAAGTCAAGCAGCAGCCTCAGGTCTGCAAGTCTCATCGTCAGGATGAACTTCCCCTCGAGTTCTGTTTACGTAACAAGAGGTGCCATGAAGAACGTTCTATTAAATAAGGTGGTTTTGGAATGTTTGCTTTCTTCCCTCACTTTGTTGGTTTATCCATTCGTCACCCATCTAACACACCACGTCTGCACCCGTTAACAGAGGGCACCCGAGGGGTGGTGATCAGGTGGTGGGGATCATTGAGGAGAGGGTGTGGGTGCAGATGCAGGACTAGGGGCTCAGCAGAGAAACTAACTTCTCGGGCCTTGCTACCTTTCCCCTTCTAAATACAAGGCCGGGTTTTAGCTGCAACGTGGCACCTGCTGGTGGCTGTCAGCAGTTAGGCCTGACCCAGTAAACTAAGTTTAGAGTAATGTCTTGTACAGCAGAAAAAAGAAAAGAAAAAAAAAGCCCTCACATAAAACGGTGTGTCTTTGTCATGTGATTAAATTATGGAAGTGTTACATGGCTGAAGCTGTGGCATTAACAGTTTCTCTGTTTTGACAGATTGACTGGTGTCAGGCCAGCTAGTCGGATTTTGTGCTAGATATGGTGACACCTAAAGACATTCTCAGGTCTTTGAGTTACACATTAATAAGGCCTTCGTTGGGTCCAAGCAGCCAGTAAAATACAAAAATCTAATAAAGTTGCCATGTATTGCTTATATTTCATAGCTTAGCACAATTTATATTTGTATTTGATTCACTTTGGGCAGTGTTGTGTTTTCTGATTTTCTCCTAGGTTGTCTTTATCAACTCATTCTAAAAAATATTCTCCTAAAACATATCCCTCAGCTTATAATAAAACCCATAGTGAATTCTCTTCTAAATCTTAGTGTTTGGAAGGCTGGAGAAAGTAGACTTCTCTGACAGATATGCACGATAGGAGATGGCAGCAACATCTCCTTACCTGGAGTACTCAGTAACGTGAATACTTTGATGATAGACTTTGAAAGCATAAACGGGTTAGAAGTCTTACTGCCACAAATATGAATTATTCATGCCTTCAGACTGGACGAGCCACCTCTGGACACGGATGGCTTACGCAGATCCAGCAGTGAGCACCAGAGGGGTAAGGAGTGGGATCTGGCAGGGTGCTAAGTTCTCTGCCGAGGAGGCAGCGTGGAATACTGCGTGAGTGCTCCCTGTGCCTGGCATGTCACTGGAAACGAAGTCAAAGCCAAGTCTCCCAGAACGCGCTGGTGTCAGACAGGAGATGCTGTAGGTGAGAAAGGGAGACGCAGAATGACTGTGCAGTGGAGGTTCCCACTTTAAGAAACTCGGCGTCACTCCTTCAGCAAACTCACCCTTTTCATGACCACAGAAAGTAACGGTTCGTATGTCGAGTTAAAAAGATGGGTTGTTTTCCTTCAAAAGATGCTATTTTTACCATTTGAGGAGAAAAACCACTTAACCTTCAAATGAAGGCAACAGAGCCAACTGTTCTGATTGCCCAAAGTGAAAAAACTCCGTCCTGTGTGCATGCATACATGCAGCTCGGTCCGCCCCTGGAGGGAGCGCCGTCCGTCCCCTCGGTTGTAAAGGATGGTTCTTACTGTGCACTGCTTGGTCCTGTTTTGCTCTTTTATTTTGAAAGACAGAGAGACCAATCTCCCATCCACTGTCACTTCCCAAACACCCCATAGCACAGGCTGGGCCAGGCCAACGCCTGGAACTCTGAACTTGGTCTGGACCTCCCACATGGGAGGAATTTAATGGGGAGAAGGTAGTTGTCTACCTCATTACAGGTTGGAGCACAGCCTGTTTCTGCAGCAGCTTGCTGGAGGGCGCCCAGCTGATGACAGAGCTAGGCAGAGAGACCCAGGCCTTTGACTCCAAAATTTACTGCTGTCTTCCTGACGTCACACGTCATTTAATTGTTTTGTACTGCTTTTCGTATTTTCTTACTCATGACAAGATTTAGCTAGTTCCAGTCTGAAGCTAACTTGTAACACGGAGCGCTCATAAACGTCTTCTAAATGGAATCGGTCCTCTTGGTTGGCGTTACTGAGGTAGGCCAGAGAGCCTGGCTGCCATCGAAGTGCACTGAACACTCAGGGTGGTGTTCTTGTTGGGGGTGTGTGAAACAGGCCTCTCCCTGGGCCTCGACTTGTAGTCCACAAATCAGTAGCTTCCAGGTAGTCCTCAAAGGAATGAGGGCTCTCCAGAGACCCAAAACAAAAGCAAAGCAAGTGGTGGTTTGTAGACACAAGGGAAAGTTCTACAAGGAAGGGACACTGAATTGTGACCCATGTGGACAGACTGTCTCAGAGGGTTGTCCTCCCTGAGTCTCTGTCCTCTGCTCCCATTCCATCCCCGATTCTCCTCACGCCGGTCAAACTACTTGATGGCCCAAGTGCTTCCACTCCTGCACCCACATGGGAGTCTCAGAAGAAGCTCCTGGCTTGGGCTTGGCCCAGTCCTGACTATTGCAGCCATTTGGGGAGTAAACCAACTGACGGAAAACATTCCTCTCTCTTTGCCTGTCTCTCTCTCTCTCTCTCTCTCTCTCTAACTCTGCCTTTTGAGTAAATAAATCTTTATTAAAAGAAAAAACTACTCGCCAAAGTCACCAGTTAGTTGCTCATTGGCCGGCCTTCTGCAGTGTTGGGTGTGGAGGACTCTCTGGGAGCACTCCCTGAGAACACGCTCACTCTGCAGTGTTGGGTGTGGAGGACTCTCTGGGAGCACTCCCTGAGAACACGCTCACTGCTGTGTTGGGTGTGGAGGACTCTCTGGGAGCACTCCCTGAGAACACGCTCACTCTGCAGTGTTGGGTGTGGAGGACTCTCTGGGAGCACTGCCTGAGAACACGCTCACTCTGCTGTGTTGGGTGCTGAGGACTCTGGGAGCACTCCCTGAGAACACGCTCACTCTGCAGTGTTGGCTGCTGAGGACTCTCTGGGAGCACTCTCTGAGAACAGGCTCACTCTGCAGTGTTGGGTGCTGAGGACTCTCTGGGAGCACTCCCTGAGAACACGCTCACTCTGGAGGGCCTGGACCTGGTGGTGGGCACATTCTTCAGAGCGCATTTTCACCTCCTCTCATCACCTCAGCCATTATCTCTGGCTCTTGACCCCGTATCATCTGTGCAGCCCAAATCTGCTGTTAACCTCACCTAAAAATCCCATTAACACCCCACAAACTTACCCTCTCTCCCCTCCCTGAAAGTCTGTCCCCAGTCTCAGAGAAGGCAGTATTACCTGCCAATCACCCTAGGTAAAAATCACTGTCATCTTTGATTCTTGCCTATTTTCTTCCTCCAAGCCTTGTCAGTTCTAAGTCCTGGGTAAGACTGAAGATCCTGTCCACCATCTCAGCCACAGCCAGTGGCAGCTGGTAGCTCGCTCCAGGTAAGTTCTTTTTCCCCCGCGTGTTTTCTAGAGAACATCCCAGCGCTGCTCGTCGTTGGTGTGGTTTAGGTGAGCTAACTGCACCTCCAGATTTCAGACCTGAATACTCGGGGTGTCACTTCCCCGTGTTACTGAGCAAGGAACTGGTGCAGAATCCGGTTAGAATAAGAGCGAATCCTGGGAGTTCTGTATTCCCCAAGTGCAAGGTGCTCTTTCCTCTGGTGTTGCTAAGAGCATAGGATGAAGGCCTGAACTTGAACCTGAACCTGAACACAGCACAAGCAAACTTGCCCGAGCAGAGCCCGCATGAAGGAAAAGTAGAGCCGAGGGGCAGGAGCAGCAAGGTTGCCTGGGACGTAAGCACTGAATTCATCTGTGAGTTCGCTGGACTTGTCTGTGCCTGAAGTCAGGAAGCCTTTGGACTTCCCCAAGTGTGGCGGGGAGGGCGGGGATCATCGTGCTTAAGCCAGTCTCACGTTTTCTTGCAACCAAAAGATTCCTAACTGGGCCAGTGATAGAAATTGAAGGGCAGAGTCAGCAATAAGACTGATTTTTGTACCAGGATTACTGAAGGAAGGGTACTTCTCACAAAACACAAAAGTGCCAAGGAAAGCGGATTTCAAAGGGGTCCTGAGTTTGTAGGAGGTGTTGGGTTTCAGGTCCTGCAGGCCATCCAGGCTACAAGTGGAGATGCGTTACAGGACGCAGAGTGGGGTTGTGAACAGAGCGTTAGGTCTCGGAGCCAGTGAGACTGGCAAGAGAACCAGTGTGGAGAAAGAGCGAGAGGCTGAGGATGAACCTCGGGGTACATAGTTCTGTTTGGGGTGAGAGGAGGAAGAAGCCAAGGAGGACACACTAGCAAACAACCACCTTTGCTGCAGTGTCTCGCATTCCACAGTTGGTCATCCCTGAGCACTCTGTGATCCCGCCTCCATGTTGCATGCTGGAGCCGGTGATGTGGGCCGGTCCCCGGGACTCAGTCTGGTGGGGCTGAGAGGGAACACTTCCACAGACTGCTAGGAAACAGTGCGGGCGCAGGAGTGGGAGCAGGTTTCTCATTGGACCCTGGCAGAGAAAAGGAGACCTCAGTGCCACTGCGTCTAGTGATTACAAATCCACAAACTTGTGGGCACCCCTCATGTGTTTGGGCAGGTGGCTGCTTTAAGAAAGAGGACCGCGGCAGTAACCGGCGTTGCAGAGCCGCCTGCCTGGCAGGCGCAGGTCTACTCTGCACACGAACTTCATGTTGTCCCCAGAACAAGCCTGTGCAGCCGGCGCCTCCCCATCCCGCGTGCTCCCGTTTTGCCCCTTCACACCCTGACCGTGTTTGCCTACCAGACTTGGGAACAGTGCGAGTTGAAAAGCTCCTCAACGTACTGTTAGTATGATTCTCAGATCACCTCTGCTATCAACCAAGACTTCGTGTCAGTACAGCCCTAATGAAAAATCCTCAGGCAGCTCAACTTAGGTGCAGCTTTCTCCCCCCCAAAAAAAAAAAATTCTTTAAAGACTTGTGCTTCTTTATTACATCCTTAAGTAATAACTTTAACAATTGAACTTGGCAGCTGAACCTGGGGAGAAATCACCCTGGCTTCGCCAGTCTCAGCCACGCAGTGCCAGTGTCCTGGGTGTTGGACAGGGGAACAGCCTGTGGGGTGTGCAGGGCTCTCAGGAGTCCGCGTTCTCAGAGGATTTTGCTAAGCCACCTTGTGCCTGCAGCTCTGTGGAGCCT